CATCAGGGAAATACAAATCAAAACCACAATGAGATACCACCTCACACCAGTGAGAATGGGGAACATTAACAAGGCAGGAAAGCACAAATGTTGGAGAGGATGCGGAGAAAAGGGAACACTCCTGCACTGTTGGTAGGAATGGGAACTGGTGCAGCCACTCTGGAAAACTGTGTGGAGGTTCCTCAAAGAGTGAAAAATAGACCTGTCCTATGACCCAGCAATTGCACTGCTGGGGATTTACCCCAAAGATACAGATGCAGTGAAAGTCCAGGACACCTGCACCCCGATGTTTCTAGCAGCAATGTCCACAATAGCCAAACTGTGGAAGGAGCCTTGGTGTCCATTGAAAGATGATGGATAAAGAAGATGTGGTCTATGTATACAATGGAATATTCCTCAGCCATTAGAAATGAGAAATACCCACCATTTGCTTCGACGTGGATGGAACTGGAGGGTATGATGCTGAGTGAAGTTAAGTCAATCAGAGAAGGACAAACATTATATGGTCTCATTCATTTGGGGAACATAAAAAAATAGTGAAAGGGAATAAAGGGAAAGGAGAGAAAATGAGTGAAAATATCAGTGAGGGTGACAACCATGAGAGACTCCTAACTCTGGGAAATGAACAAGGGGGAGTGGGGAGCCTGAGGCAGGGCTTGATCTCACCACCCTAAGATCATGACCTGAGCCAAAATCAAGAGTCAGATGCTCAACCTACTAAGCCACCCAGGCGCCTCCTAAGAAACACTCCTAACTGTTGAGAACTAACTAGCTAATGGTTACCGGGGGGGGGGGGGGGGTTAAATAGGGGAATGGGTAAAATAGGTGTTAGGGATGAAAGAGTACACTTGCCATGATGAGCACTGAGTAACGTATAGAACTGTTCAATCACTATATTCTACATCCGAAACTAATATAACACTGTTAACTGTGCTGGAATTAAGCAAAGTTTTAAAAGAATGAAAAATCTGTTTTTAAAAATTCTTCAGTTTTACCAATCCTGCCTGCTTCTGACACAGTTAATGCACAGGCTCAGCACAGAGGCTGTGGCAACACCACTCGCAACCCCTACCCCGATAGGCTGGATAAAGAACCGACTATGGTGGACACTCAACATGCTTGCTGCCCACATCCCTGCTGACCAGCGGAAATCAGAACTACCACCACCAAGAGGAAATCTGAGCTAAGCCACGGTCTCTGGATCTGTCCTAAGAGCAACTAGCAATTTAGCAATGGAGCTCAGAGCTGCATCTTGGTGTCCAACCTCATTTTTGGACATACTCCAATGAACACTGGATAGTTGATTCACAGGCGAATGAAGTACAGCAAGCACAGAAAAGACATAAAACCAGTGATCTTCTGGTTAGTCCAGATGAACAAGTGAAGAACGCTCACTAATCTTCATACAGAAACTTCCTCTTACGACATCCTCAATATCCAGCTGGAATTTACTCTTCACCTTAGTTTTCAGATAGTCAGGGCTGTTTAATGGGTCATTGTCTCTTCCAGCTTGACAAGCCTACCTCACAATTTACCTCTCTTCAGAAAATTTCTCCAAACCAAATCTACCCAAATCTGATTACGAATTTATTCAGTACCTCAAAACAGTTCAATCTGCACTCGCAGTGCAGATCTAGAATATCAGATCTAAAAGGAATTTCAGGGGCACCTGGGTGGTTCAGGCCAGTTAAGCGTCTGACCTCGGCTCAGGTCATGATCTCAGGGTCCTGGGTTTGAGCCCCATATTGGGCTCTGCACTCAAAGGGGAGTCTGCTCTTGCTCCCTCTCTCAAGTTTTTTTTAATTAAAAATAAATAAATAAAAGGAACTTCAGACACCATGCAGTGCAGCAGGCTCTCTCTGAGAGGTAGCTCCATGATACAGGGGCTCTAGACCAGACACACCTGAGTCCCAGGTGCAATGGCACCTGCCAACTGCCTGACAATGAGCAGTTTCCTTACCTACCTCATGAGTCTCCGTTTTCTCAACTCTAACATAGCCTCTGGCACTTGTAAGACTCTAACAAGTAGTAGCTATTATTGTCAGTGTTACTCGGTGCCTTAGAAGCCACTTGCCCCAAGTCTATAATAGTTAGGTCCCTGAGGTGGTCTGAGCAAAGACCCTCCCCATCTCTCTCCTGGACGACAACGATAGCTTGCCAAGTGGGCTCTACAACCAGTGTTTAATTTCTTTTCTACACTATTACCAGAATGATCCCTTTTAGAAAACAAATCTGACTGAAACCCCCACTCTTACAAATTGTCAGGGGCTCCCAGTGGTCACAGCACTAAGTGCAAACTCCTTAGCAGATCCCCCAGTGCCCTTCATGATTTCCCCCTGACCCATCTTTTCAGTGCCGTCTCCACTTGCCATCCCCAAGGAGGCTAGGCTTCAGCTATCCACAATCTCTACCCGCCTCCCAGCTGCTGTGCACTCTCACACTTCTATGGCTTGGTCCTGGCTAACCCTCTGCTGAAAACATTCACCTGTCTTCATCTGGTCAGCTCCATCCACCAAGCCCAAGGCCAGCCTTCTTTTTCAAGATGCTTCCACAGTGCCTGTAGGCTCAAGCATCGCCCCTCCTCAGGGCTCCTCCTTCTGCTCTCTTCATCCTTGTCATTCACTTTTACCCCCATCTGTTATTCTCCATAGGACTTCCTGACTCTCTCTTGTTCCAGGGTAGGGGCTGCCTCTCAGTCATCTTCATGTAAGCATGGCTTAGCTCACTACCTATCATAGAGGGGGTGCTCACTAAAAAGCACCAGAATGGGACGCCTGGGTAGCTCAGAGGTTGAGCATCTGCCTTCGGCTCAGGGCGTGATCCCACGGTCCTAGCATCGAGCCCTACATCGGACTCCCTGCATGGAGCCTGCTTCTCCCTCTGCCTATGTCTCTGTCTGTCTTTCTCTCTGTGTCTCTCATGAATAAATAAATAAAATCATAAATAAATAAAATCATAAATAAATAAAATCATAAAGAAAGCAAGCCAGCCAGCCAGCCAGTCAGAATGAATGACTAAATTAACAAGTAGATGGATGGGTGGTTAAATGAATTAAGGAACCAGGAGGTCCTGTGTTCTCATTTCACCACATCCACCTTTGCTTGCATACTGATTATTTTAAAAACCTATTAGTACAGTTTTCACTTAAGCATATGAGATCTCTTGAATTAGATTAGAAGCTTCTAAAGGACAAGTGCATCTTCTAACTATGCTTTGCACTCTCTCAGATCCAGACATACTAGTATTGCTTAAGTTTCTGAATGCCCTCTTTTGCAATACAGCACTTGCATGACAAGAATTTTCACTTGTTATGAGGGAAGTTACAATGAAGCTTTCATTTCAAAGGGAGTGTGGTAATAAGATGTTATCCTAGACAGTTATGGAAAAGAAATAACCTGATTTATTTTCTTTCCAACAGCAGAAAACAGTCAGCGTCCCATCTCTTTAGATGTTTAAATGAGAGCCTGTATTGTAGTGTTCACAACCTTCAAAAAAGATATTATTTTCTTGCATAAGGCATGAAAACATGGGCTTCAAAAAAGATATTATTTTCTTGCATAAGGCATGAAAACATGAAAAAGAAGGCTGGCCTTGGGCTTGGTGGATACCTTCAGTATCTCTCATGTCTTCATCAAACTTTCAGAAATATTATCTAAGGAATGTAGTACTATATTAAGTTTGAATTTATTCTCATAGGTGTTTTATAAAGTATTCAACCAAAGAAATAGGTCCTAAGTAGGAAACTTTCTTTTATTCCTGGTCATTGAGTGAAAAGACAAAAATGGGACAATGGAGGCCAAGATTTAGCTCTTCCACAAGAGGATAAATAGGTTCACAGACATGCTGACCATCACACATCTTATCTATCCACCCTAGATCAAAGATTCTCAACCAAGAGGGACTCTGCCCTTCAGGGGATATTTGACGATGTCTGAAGACCCTCTCACAACCAGGAGCTTGCTACTGGCATCTAGTAGGTAAAAGCCAGACATGTTGACGGTGCTAAACATCCCACAATGCACAGAACAGCCACCCATAACAAAGAATTATCTGGCTCAAAATGTCAATAGTGCCAAGGTTGGGAAAGTATGTTCTAGAATTACAGATTTCCATATCACTAAGGCAAAATAGAAGAGAATGAGTTCATATTCCTAATTACTCTCCCCATTCCCCAAAATCTAGAATTAAGAGGAAATAAATTATGATGATATTTTCACAGTTTATATGTAAGATAGCATTTGAAAGGAAACAAAATAGGGAGAAAAAAAAAAGAACATTTTAACAACTAAATTCTTGGAAGGAAAACACATTTCAGACACATTCATTTCCACTGTAGTCAATTTTGGCATCTGTAATTGGTTTTAACTATCCAGGCAGATGGGTAATTGGAACTAAAGTCAAACTATAAAGCCTATAACAACTCCACGAGTACAATTTCCCAATAGCTAAATGAGTTCTGAGCATGGGATTTCCAGTGGCTCTGATAAGCATTGTAACTCTCATGGCTATTTGTAAAGGGGGACAAAAAGTTGATATCTGATATATCTTCAAAAAAAGTTGACCAGGCCTAATCACTCCATAATAAGCAAATGGAATTATTCCAGTTTCAAAGGAACAATTCAGAAGTATATTCACTGGACCCAGTAGCTGAAAAACCAAATGAAGAAGGTACCTAAGGAAGATTGTTTTCTATCGCTTCTAAAACAGTATTAGCATTGCAAAATAACCTTTACCAAGATCAATATTTGGGTTTCTATTTCCAAATGGAAAGATAAAAACAAAACTACTTAAGCTAAATATTTTAATGATATATTTGGAGGTCAAGTTTTTTGAAAAGACTTTTCACTGAAGGCTATTTTAGTTAATTGGTTGAGACTTTGGCCAAACTATCTACGGGTACTGCTGGTTCTCGTAATGTATGATTCTGGAACACCGCAGTGCTGTTTTACATTTCTAATTGTAGAGAGCTCCTAACAAAATCCCCATGTATAAATACTAACCACCAATCCGTGATAAAAATCTCTTCTTCTGCTTCTTCCATAGCATCTGCCACATCTTCAAAATACCCTTTGGCATTAACATACCTGAAAGATAAGTTTTTTTTGATTGATTGATTGATTGATTGATTGATTCAGAAAGAAAACATATCTTATGGCAAAGTAAAAGATGGAAGCCACTGCCTGAGTTTCTACAAAGCCATCAGTTTACTTTGTATAACCGAAGACCAAGGATTGCAAACACTATCATCCTATCATCCGTCTGGTATGCAGGAAGCCCAATAAGTAGACAGAAGCAAGTAACCAGATTCTGCTGAGAGAACAACAAATTGGTCTCATCCTCACATGAGTCAGATACATTCTCTCATCCTGTTGAACTCACATCGTTGTCCTTCTGAGACTGAAAACTGATCAGTTTCCAATCCATGGGTAGAAAAACATGCAAAGCATTTTATTTAAGAGGAATACCCAGCAAGTAAATTCTCGTTCTTAAAAAATTATGGCTAATAATTTTTTTTTAAAAAGATTTTATTTATTTATTCATGAGAGACACAGAGAGAGAGAGAGAGAGAGAGAGAGGCAGAGACACAGGCAGAGGTAGAAGCAGGCTCCATGCAGGGAGCCCGACGTGGGACTCGATTCCAAGATCCCAGGATCACGCCCTGAGCCGAAGGTAGATGTTCAACTACTGAGCCACCCAGGCGTCCCAATTATGGCTAATAACTTAAATACACATTCCATCATTAAAAATGTATGAAGTTAGCTTTTAAAATCAAACTTCAAAGTCTAAAGCTAGTTATCTAAAGCTCACTGTAAAATCTTAAATACAAAAATCGGAAAATGAATCTCTGCTCAGCTGGTCTTATAAAGAAAGGCCCTTGTCAAGGGTAATGCATAATATGTCTCCACGGCTCCAAATACTGATTCCAGATAATATCCCACTATAATATTAGATACTAGGACTACCTCCACAGTCTTAGAGCAAAACGATCTTACCATTTAGCTAAAGTATTCTCTTGGACAGCAGCATATGACCCAAATCGGTGGTCTTTGAGAAAGTTGGTGCCATGTTTCTGGATGAATTCCTCTATAGCTCCTCCCCACCACCGAGCATGCCTATAGCTGTTGCATTTTAAAATAAGTGTCCTTCCGAGAAAAGCAAAATGTGGAAAAGAATGATCACTCCATGTTCTGTCTCTTTCAAAAAATTTAACAATGAAACATGTGCCATTTTGTTTTTGGAGTACAGCAAGTATAGGTTGAAGACTTTAAGCAAAGAGCATCTTATTTATATCAAAAAAAGCAGACTTCTGAACATTTTGGGCAGGATTTTAAACTATATTGAATATGGCAAAATACATTTTCAGGTTATTTACTCATTCACTCATGCTAACGTGCATAAAGGTACTTACTACGACTAGCACTATACGAGCTGTGAGGGGAATAATCTTAAACCTTCTAGTGTCAGAGAGGATCTGGAAGTTCAGCATCTCTTCACACACATACATGCACAGACACACACAAACCACACACCAATGTGTATTAGGGTGTGTGTGGGTGTATGTCAACGTGTGAAAGAAATATACGTATATTTGTATACATAAGGCTAAACTTTGTAGAGCCAAATGTGTGTGTATAGAGAAAAAGACATACACAGTCTTCCAGAAAGAAACATTTATCAACACACACACACTTGCTAATAAAATCCATAGTAAATGGGCAGTTGAATATCCGTTCAAGATATTTTTCTTAAAATCTATGTGTGAAGAGAACTTTTGTAAACTAAATCTGTTTATGTGTTTCTCTTAAAGGATGTCAATTTATAAAGTAAAATTTTATCTTTTAAAAATGTGAAACAATCACTCCTTAATTTGTTTGGTAAAATGGTGTTACTGAGTAATTAATTTTGTTAATAGGCATACATTTTGTTAAAACAGGCATAAATCAACACACGGGATTGTTCATTCCGACTGTTGCACACTGGATATACTATAGTCAAAAAAATAGACACCTGATCTTAGCCAAAGGCTGAGAAGCGATATATACTTAAAAATATATAGAAAGAAAAGTCATTTCATCATTTTTTATTGAAGATGAGTTCTAAATAACAATTTTCTAACAGTTAAATTATTCTGCTTCCTTCTTCACTTAAAGTTGGGAGAAAATCTTTGTTTTTGAGATAAATTGTGTCAAAATATTTGAAATTTCTACCTTGAAAGATTATCAATTCGGAGTCCATATTTTGTCTCAGTCTCCTTCTTCCCGACCTTAATTTTGAATTCTTTATCTACCAGCAGGACAAAGGCAATGGCACCGCTGTCTGGTTTCATATAGAGTAAAAATGAATCTTTCACTATCAACCACCTGTAGGAAGGGAATAAATATTTTTAGAGTTGTACTGAATCACTGAAACAAAAAGAACAAATTATGTCAAGTTAAGTAAGCACTCTAGCAGACCATAGATATGATTTTATTTTTTACACAGGGGATTTTTTAAAAGTCAGTTTGCAACAACAACCACAAAAAAAAAAAACTAATAAGTCTATTATGTTTTTCTAAGCACCAAGCAATTCAAAGTAATTCATTAGCTCTGTAAACACTAATGACATAACCTGGGAGGATGCCCCTGCTATGGGCAGGTAGCACTCGCATGTACAGCAGGAGCCTCAGCTGTTGGAAGAATGGAAATGCACTGGAAAAACGTCTGCTAAGATAAACCATCATAAAAGAGGCAAATAAGTCTCTTGAGAGATAAAAATCCTGCTTTCAAAACAACCCAGTAAGCATCTAAGACTCTACATATTCTGTTTTTTATTTCAAATTGTAGGTTTAAGGACTATTGTTAAATGATGTGGTCTCTCAAAAGCATCTATGTATTCAACTCAATATATATTTAAGAGTTTCATAATGGAAAAATACAGTGATAAGCTGGGAGTTAGTATAGAGGTAGACAGAGCACAGAGGAGGGACGCCAGGGTGGCTCAGCAGATGAGCATCTGCCTCTGGCTCAGGGCGTGACCCCGGAGTGCTGGGATCGAGTCCCACATTGGGCTCCCCACAGGGAGCCTGCCTCTCCCTCTGCCTGTGTCTCTGCCTCTCTCTGTCTCTCTCATGAATAAATAAATAAAACCTTAAAAAAAGGAAGAAAGAAAGAAACAGCACAGAGGTAAAAGAGACATGCTCTCCAAGGAGCTTATGAGGCTAGTGGGGCACAAAGAAGGTGCTAGAAACTGAAAAGGTGATGGGTCTAAGAGGGAGTCCTTAGTTCTGACTAGAGAAAGAGCTAGAAGCACTCTCCCATACAGGTGGATCTGAGCGAGGCCAGAAAGATCCTATCAAATAAAGCCCAAAGCAGGGAGCCCGAGGCCTGCATCCCGCATGGAGGGAAGAGCTGGCAAAGGCACTGCGGTGTGGAAACAATTGCTGCACGTGTTGGGAGAAAGTCTGGTGTGGCCAGCGTCTCAGGGAGTATAGTAAGGAAAAACGGGCAAAAGCCACACTGCGGACAGTGTGAATGAAGGCCATGCTCAGGAGGCTGATTTCATAGCATGGGACCAGTTTCCTAAACTTGCTTTGCCATCAGAAGCTCTTGAGATGCTTGTTTAAAAAAAAAATAATAGGGTAGCCCCGGTGGTGCAGCGGTTTAGTGCCACCTGCAGCCCAGGGCATAATCCTGGGGTCCTGGGATCGAGTCCCACGTCGGGCTCCCTGCATGGAGCCTGCTTCTCCCTCTGCCTGTGTCTCTGCCTCTCTCTTTCTCTCTATCATAAATAAATAAATAAATCTTTTAAAAAATAATAAAAAATAATAATTTCCCAGGACCCACAGCTGATTATTTTTATTTTATTTTATTGAAGTTTGATTTGCCAACATATAACACCAGGTGCTCATCCATCAAGTGTCCTCCTCAGAGCCCGTCACCCAGTCACCCCATCCCCCTGCCCACTGCCTATTCCACAACCCTTTGTTTCCCAGAGGTAGAAGCCTCTCATGGTTTGTCTCCCTCTCTAATTTTTCCCACTCATTTCCCCTCCTTTCCCTTATGGTCTCTTTCACTATTTCTTATATTCCCCATATGAGTGAAACCATATGATGAGTGTCCTTCCCCGACTGACTGACTTCACTCAGCATGATACCCTGTTTTTTTTAACAAAAACACCAGGATGGTTATTAAATTAGAGAATCTTCATGCCCCAGCAAGGGAGAGGATGAGACTATCCCGGTAGCTATGTTTTAGAAAGAAAGGTATGAATGATAAAGAGGGATACAGTGTGGCAGGCTCGCAAGCTACGGCGATAATACAGAACAACTCTTCTTACACTTCACTGTGAATAAGCCTCACATGGGTATCCTGTTAAAATGCAAAATCTGTGGCTAGTATCAGAAGGATAAGAAATAACAAGTGCTGGGGAGAATGTGGAGGAAAGGGAACCCTGGCCCACTGTTGGTGGGAACATAGATTGGTGCAGCCACCATGAGGAACAGTATGGAGGTTCCTCAAAAATATAGAGATAGAAATACCAAGTCATCCAGCATTTCTACTTCTGGATACTTACCTGAAAGAAAAGAAAAAAAAACCTCACTAATTTGAAGAGATGTATGCACTCCTATGTTTATTGCAACATTACTTACAACAACAGACATGGAAGTAACTTATTGATGAATGGATAAGGAAAATGGTGGAGTATTACTCAACCATTAAAAAAAGGTCTTGCCATTTGCAACAACATGATGGACCTAGAGAGGGTATTATGCTAAGTGATATAAGTCAGATAGAGAAAGGCAAGTACCGTATGACTTCATATTTATGTGGAATCTAAAGACAAAAAAGCCAACCAACCTAACAAAACAAAACAGAAAGAGACTCATACATGTAGAGAACAAACTGCCGGTTACCAGAGCAGGGAGGAGTGGGAGGATGGGCAAAATAGGTGAAGGGGATTTAAGAGGTACAAACTTCCAGGTGTAAAATAAAGAAATCACAGGGATGCAAAGTATAGCACAGGGAGCACAGTCAATAATATTTTAATAACTTTGCATGGTGACAGGTGGTAACTCTACGTATCATGGTGAGCATTTTATAATGTGCATGAATGCGGAGGCACAGTGTTATACACCTGACCCTAACATAACGTTGTATGCCAGCTATACGTCAGTGAAATATAATAGTAATAAAATAAATAATAAAAGTAAAGTGCAGATTCTGATTCAGTAGGTCTGGGGCAAGGCCCGACATTACGCATTTCTAATAAGCTCAAGGGCGATGTCCATGCTAGGACGACATTTGAGCAGTAAGGATGTAGATGACGGGCATGACAAGGGCAGTGGGACGAGCAAAAGTATGGGATTGATTTGAAATGAACACAAACGGGGACGCCTGGGTGGCTCAGTGGTTGAGCATCTACTTTTGGCCCAGGGCATGATCCTGGAGACCCGGGATCGAGTCCCACATCAGGCTCCCTGCATGGAGCCTGCTTCTCCCTCGGCCTGTGTCTCTGTCTCTGCCCCTGCCTCTTTCTCTGTGTCTCTCATGAATAAATCAATAAAATCTTTAAAAATAATAAATAAAATGAACACAAATGGCAACGGTGCCATGCTGCATGTAACACCATATAATCACATTTACTGGCAACTGTGTAGTGATCAATCAGTTCGTAGCCGAATAAAATAACAATGGGCATATCATATTCAATATCACACAAAGTAAAGCACATTCTAGAACAGGAAAGGAAAACAGTATGGAGGTTCAAAAATCTAAAGACAGAAATACTAAATGCTCCAACATTTCTGTGAATATGTTCACAAGGTAAGGAATATGGTGAACGTAACATGGGAAGCCGGCACCTAAAAAAAAAATCTATGATACAGTGTCACCAAAATTGCTAACCACATGGCAATTTAGGGGCTTCATAATTGGGGGTTTACTACAGACAAATCTATGTTGGTTTCTACCTAGTTTCTTTTCTTTTTTTTTTAAATGTTCTTTTTTTTAATATTTTATTAATTTATTCATGAGAGAGGAGAGAGAGAGAGGCAGACACAGGCAGAGGGAGAAGCAGGCTCCATGCAGGGAGCCCAATGTGGGACTCGATCCCGGGTCCCCAGGATCACACCCTGGGCTGAAGGTGGTGCTAAACCACTGAGCCACCTGGGCTTCCCTCCACTTAGTTTCCACCTAGTTTCCCTTCCACCATTTCATTCATTTGTCTTTCAATATATAGGCCAGCTCCTTCCTAATAAAAGGGGATGGGATCAAAAAAAAAAAAAAAAAGAAAAAGAAAAAGGGATGGGATCGCTTTAGTTAGTTATGTCCTCACTAACAGTAAAGGCCATACATGTGATAACGGTGAACAAAGGGAAAAACAGTAAAGTCACAGAAAGCAAACACCTAACCACAACATCAACATAATTAGGGCGATGCCAAGCTTCCTGGTTTTTCTTACCCAACAAATACATTAAAGAAATCAAAAGGTGTCTCCCCCTAAAAAAATAAAATTCCAAAGGAAGTTTCCCATTTGGGACCCAACGGAAGGCACCTGAGTAGAATAACGGGTAAGATTCTCAATAATTGTCAATAAGTGCAGGAATTACACATTTTGTAAGAATTCTCACGACGGCTCTCAAGGCGCAGGACGCCCAGGCCGGGGGTCGAGGCCCGGGTGTGAGGCAGCCGCGGAGCTGCCCGTCGGCAGGAGTCAACCAAGGCCAAGGGCACGGCCGGACCGGTGCCTGCCCGGGCTCCTTCTCCCGGCCGGGCCCTGCTGCACCCCTGTGCCCTCCGCAGCTGCCTGCTCGTGAACCTGGGGGCCTGCACGTGGAGCACACCGCACGCACCGGAGCCAGCTGTCCCCAGAGCTCCAGGCCAGGGGCCCCGGTCCAGGGCCACCAGCTCCCATGGCTGGCATTACACAGCACATCTCAGAGATGCTTCTAAGAGCAGAGGCTGGTGGCACAACCATCGGGACCAGGGCTGGAAAACATGTCCCTGGGACCAGGCCACAGGGACTATGGTGCAGGTACGCCTTACGCGGGGAGCCCCGGTGCAGGAGGCCTGCGATGTTGGCGGTGTCCTCCTGCAGAAGTGGGTGCTTGAGGGCAGCCCGGGGCGCTCAGCGGTGTAGGGCCACCTTCAGCCCAGGGCGTGATCCTGGAGATTCGGAATCAAGAACCACACTGGGCTTCCTGCATGGGGCCTGCTTCTCCCTCTGCCTGTGTCTCTCTCTCTCTCTGTCTCTCATGAATAAATAAATAAAATATTTTTTTAAAAAAAAGAAAAGAAATGGGTACTTTTCTCAATCTGCTCAGAGGCCAGGTGATCAACACCTTGTTCAGCAATGGCAAGCAGACGGCTGGGGGTCCCGGCAGGCCGGAGCACCGGTCAGCACTGGGGGTACCCTAACTGCCCTCCTCCCCTGCCCCTCTGAGATGTGGCGCCTGCAAATACAGAAGAGCGTAGTAGTAACAGCTGCATTTTTAAAGTAGGTTCCATGCCCAACGTGGGACTCGAACTCATGACCCTGAGATCAAGGCCCAAGCTGAGATCAAGGGTGGGACACTTAACCGACCGAGCCACCCAGGCAACCCCTGTGACAGCTGGATTTTTGAAAAAGCTGAATGCAAAAGACAACTTGAGTTTTGATAATGAATTCCTCTTATTAGTCATCCAGACATCAGCGTAAATGGACTCGCGGTGCTTTTCTATAAAGCTCTTCTTGATTATACCATTCCTGAAACTCCTCTGATTTCTTTCGTTTCTCTCTTTCGTCAACTTTTTTTTTCTTTAACAAGAGGCCACGCGCCAAGAGAGGAACAGGTGACCAGTCTTCGGGAGTCAGCGGCAGCTGCTGGGGGAGCAAAGCGCATCCCTACAAGTCACCCTCCCTGGGCCTCCCTGGGCTCCAGTTCCAGCTCTGCGTGAGCCCGGGGACACGGCTGGAGGGGGCTCCCCCCCTGGAATGAGCGACCCACTCATCCGTGCTTGTGAGAAATCAGGGGGCTGATGCACGTACATTGCTCAGCACTGTGCCTCGCGCCAGGAACAGGCCCTTTCACAGACATTCTTGCTCTCAGGCAGGTGAGGTTCTAGTCTGTTCTAACAAGCGCCTCCTGCCCGTGCCACTCCTTGCTCTGGCACTGAAATGCAGACAGCCCCGGAGCCAGGCTTCTGGGCCTCACCCCTGCCCTTCTCTCTCCCCACCCACGTCCAGCTGTCCTCACATCTGCCAAGGTGCTTCTTCTTCGGGCTTCTACGTCGGCTGGTCCTCTGCCTAGAAATTATTTTGTCCAGAGGCTCCCATGGGCCTTTCCTGCTCCTGCGCTCTCCGCCTAAACATTCCTGCGCAGGGAGGCCCCACCCACCGCTCCCTTTAGCTTCTTGCCCTGACCTGGAACCATCTGTCTGCTTGTTCTTATTGTCTGTAGCATTCTGGGTATGGCTCAAAGTTCAGCAAAATAAATGGTACACTTATTTCTTAAAATCCATACATCTCCTTAGACGTTACTTGAGATGAGAAACTTCTTGTCCAGTCCACTACCAGATGCAGATATGCCGCATGAGATGTTTTTTTTTTTAAGATTTCATTTATGTATCCATGAGAGACACACACAGAGAGAGGCAGAGACACAGGCAGAGGGAGAATCAGGCTCCATGCAGGGAGCCAGATGTGGGACTCGATCCTGGGTCTCCAGGATCAGGCCCTGGACTGAAGGTGGTGCTAAACCGCTGAGCCACCCGGGCTGCCCATGAGCAGATGTTTTAAATTGTGAGAAGAAATGTTTTCCGTGTTTGTCTTTTGTTTTTTGTTTTTCTTTTTACTTGTCCCCAAGACCAGGTCACTGTGAGACGCACTGAAAGCTCAGTTGCCCCATTTGCGTGATCTCGGTGCGTCGAGGTAGCAAGCCTGAGAAAGCGATCCGGATGCTTGAGCACGGATACGAACACAAAAAAGAGCGAGTGACCAATGTGCCCTCCTTAAAAGCAACTCCTATTCGGATACCAATAGCTTCTGCCCTGAGGAAACTTCTAGACTAACGCCGCCAGCTGCAGCTTGCTGCTTTCTCTGGTACTGCTACTTTGGAACGCACCCATGTAGCTCGGGAAATACTTCTTAACGGGGAACCAAGGCTTCAACCTTTGTGGAAAGATCCGCACAATTGTGAAACGACGACACGCTTCATTCCAGGGAGGATTGGATCTTTTTGGGTTGCCCTGGTAGAGGCTGGATTTAATCCGAAGCTTAAAGTGCGAGGGAGCTCGGTTGTTTTATTTAACCACATCTGGGGATCCCTGGGTGGCTCAGTGGATCTCTCTCTCTCTCTCCTCTCTCTCTCTGTCTCTCATGAATAAATAAGTAAAATCTTTAAAAAAAAAAAAAAAAAACCCACGTCTGGCCCCGTCTTTGGCGGCTGCCCCTCGCAGGGAGCCTAACCGCTGGCTGCAGTCCCTTGACCCCGCGCCCAGGTCCCCTCTCCAGCCTCAAGGCCTTCCCGTCCCCCTGCCTTCCCGTTCCTTCAGAGCCGAGGCCTCCCCCATCTCCACTCCCTGTCGCTTCCCTGAGGGCAGGGGCCTTGCCTCCTTGTCACAGGCGCTGGAGCACAGCCGGCGACACTAGGCCCCGGTCAGAGCGCGGGGACCAGACCACGGCGGCCGTCGCTTGGGCGGAGGTCCCGGGCTGGGTTGGCCCCCAAGTCTGCTCTGAGACCAGGGTGTGAGTAAAGGAGGCGTGTCGGGGGGCGCAGAGGGAGGTTAGGAGCCCCGGCAGGGGGGCACGGGGAGGTGGAGCAGGGCGCCAGGCCTCAAGGACGCCTTGGTCTGCACGCATCCTACTGTGCGGGGCCGAGCCAGTGCAGAGCTGGGGGGGGCATCACCCCCCCCACCCCCCCACCCCCCCGGGGCTGGGCAAGACTCGCAGGTGCTGCCTTCCGAGAGCCTGGGCTGAGCCCAGCGGCCACCTTAACCAAAGCTGAAGTCAGGGCAGGAATGCTCCGCAGGACTCCGCACCAGGAGCCCGCTGAGCACTAAGTTACAGCATTCTGTCTGAAGACAACTTTTTTTTTAAAGATTTTTTATTTATTCATTAAAGACACAGAGAGACAGAGACAGAGACAGAGACAGAGACCCAGGCAGAGGGAAAAGCAGGCTCCATGCAGGGAGCCCGATGTGGGACTGGATCCCAGGACCCCAGGATCACGCCCTGGGCCCAAGGCAGGTGCTCAAACACTGAGCCACCCAGGGATCCCGAAGACAAATATTTTCTAGTGCATTGCTTCCTTTTTTTTTTTTAAATTTTAGTAAAATTGTTTTACTGGAACTCAGAAATTTTCTATTTTCTCCAGTCTAATCTCTTGATCTTTTCCTTGTAATTTCTTCTATCCTTTGATTTTTTTCAATTTCATTTATTCATGAGAGACACAGGCAGAGGGAGAAGCAGGCTCCCTGTGGGGGGCCCGATGTGGGACTCGATCCCAGGACCCCGGGACCATGCCCTGAGCCCAAGGCAGACGCTCAACCACTGAGCCACCCAGGCGCCCCTTCTACTATCCTTTTAAAATCGAGAAAATAAGAGCTTGACTTAATGGTATGATTTGCTGGTAGTGTGTCTTAAATATGTTTAAAGTTAAGTCTTAGTTTTAGAGTTTTGATGCATATATTTTTTTTAAGATTTTATTTTTATTTATCTAAGAGAGAGACAGAGACTATTATATCCAGAACATTGTGATAAATGCTTTGAGGACACAAACAAGAATCAGATGAGAACACTGGTCCACAGGAGTCTGGTTGGGTAGGAAACAGGATATGAATTAAAGTTCTCTGTCTGGGGCACATGGGTGGCTCAGTGGTTGAGCATCTGCCTTCAGCTCAGGTTGTGATCCTGGGGTCCTGGGATCGAGTCCCGCATCAGGCTCCCTGCAGGGAGCCTGCTTCTCCCTCTACCTGTGTCTTTGCCTCCCTCTCTGTGTGTCTCTCATGAATAAATAAAATCTTTTTTAAAAAAATAATGTTCTCTGTCTATATCACACATCAGAATATACATCCTTACAAATGTTAAGTCTAAAATCATGATCCCTGAAATCTGACCAATTCTTCTTTTATCTTTTAGTTTATTTTTTAAGTGGTTCCGTGGTTTTTAGGATATTCCTAAAGCTGGGCACCATCACCACTAATACCTAATTTCAGAATATTGTCACCACCCAGAAGAAACCCCATGTCCATTTAGCAGTAACTCTCATTCTCCTTTCCTCCCAGCCCCTGGAGACCACTCATCTACTCTGTCTCTATCGATTCGTCTATTCTTGGACATTTCATACAAATGAAATCTTATAAAATGTGGCCTTTTGTGTCTGGCTTTTTTTTCACTTAGCATGTTTTGGAGATTCACTTAGGAAGTAGCAGGAATTAGTATTTCATTTGTTTTGTTTGTTTTCATAAAAAATTTCTAAACATTGTATTCATATACTGTAAAACTCACCTTTTAAAGGTGTATAATTCAGTGGTTTGCAATATATTTAAAAAGTTGTACAACCAGATATCTCCATCGACCCAGAAGGAAACCCCATTCCCATTAATCTTCATTCCTTTTATGGCCAAATAATATTCCACTGTACACATATACCGCATTTTGTTTAACTGTTCATCAAATCATGGACATTCGGGAGGTTCATACTTTTTGGCTATTTGAACAGTGCTGCTGGTGAAAGCATCTTCCACCAATTGTGATGCAGACATATTTTTCTAATTCTTTGGGGTAAATACTTAGAGTTACCATATGCCCGGTAAACCCACTTCCTATGTTTAACATTTTGAGGAACTGCTGTGCCATTTTCTAGAGTGGCTGCACCATTTTACATTCCTACCAACAATCTAGGAGTGTTCCAATTTCTCTACATCCTTGTTAACACTTGTTACTGTGTCTTTTTCATGACAGACATCCTAGTGGCTGTGAAGTTGGACCCCGCTGTGGTTTTGATTTGCATTCCCTGAAAGCCTAGTGATACTGAGACATCTATCTGTGCTTATTGGTCATCTGTATAAGTTCTTTGACCCGTTTTTGAGTTTATTTTATTTTTACTTATAAAATAAATTTTGCACACTCTGCCTTCAAGCCCCGGTTTGAGTTAGAATATTTAAATGGATGCTGAAACCTGGGACTTAAGATAATCTAAAATTTGTTCTGCTGTAACTTTCAAAGGATATATAATGGATTCGTAATTGAAAACCAGCATGTGAAAATCCCCCAAACATCCAGTTTATTAAAACAAACACACAAAATGGCAAAGTCCTACCTTTTGGACCAGCGGTAGCAGGCTCTTCCCTGACCACAGCAATTCAAGCCTGGTATCCTGTGTCCCCCGGATCTTTTCATTATCATACCTTCTCTAAAAGAGACATCAAGTTAACCCAGCAGAAGATTTCCAATTCACACTTAGCTGATACAGCCTCACCACTTGGACTAAATAAACGGTTTCCTTCTCACATCACTTCTTCTCCTTCCTTTTTCACTCTCAAATAGCTCAATATGGAATTCACTAGGCTGGATACTCTAGCCGCTGATCTCTAAAAGCAGCTGGTCAGCAAAATTCTCTTGCACACAGTGCAGGACCTTAGGCATTCTGGCTTCTGGCTCCAAATGCTGAGTGTACCCTCCAGTCATTGGGACAAGCTGAAAAAGACCCCAGACATCACCAAAGGCCTGCCCAGGGATGGTTCAGCTGCTGTCGACACCATTGGAGGTACCTGCCCAAAGGTTCCCAAATCCTCATCCTTTTACCTACAGTTCTAGGACCGAGTCATACCAAAGGAACAAGGCACATCTATTAGAGCTTTGGAAAGAGAAATATCTTACTTTTGAGGGATATGACGAGAAACAACAACATGAATGGCTTAACCAAAGAAAAAAATTAAAACTACTACTAATAATGTTCTTTACTAAAGCTCTTGATAACATCAAGCTCTCGTATTATTGAAGGAAAAATAATCATTAAGTAAATTTCAATCTTGTTACCTAGCATAAATTTTACACACTATTTTTTAAATCATGAAAATGAGTGATAAATAGCTAACTTTTGTAAGTTATTTAAAGAAGGGACTTGATACATTTGATTTTTTTAAATTGAGGTATAATTGACATATAACATTATACCAGTTTCAGGTGCACAACACATTAATTTGGCATTTTTATATATTGCAAAATATCACCCCAATAAGTCTAGTGAACATCCACCTCCATACATAGTTAAAATTTTTTATTGTGATAAGAACCTTTAAGATGGGTTCTCTTAGCAACTTTCAAATATACAACACGTTTATGTCTAATGCTTTCTCCCACATATCATATTTTCTACCTGTATTAAACATTCCTAATGTTGGGCAAGGGGAAATCTGTGCTGTAAGGCCCTAAGAAGGAGGATGGAGCAGTTGCTATCCTTGTTCAATAATAGCAAGGTACCACTCTGTATAAATAGACTCTCTGAGTGGCTCTGACTCTGTCGGGAAGAAAATAAGCTAGTAGTAGGCAAGTCAGGTAAGCTCTGTCACCATGGCAGGATGATCAATCAAATGGTAATACTTATCAGCTTTCACAATTCTCTTTAAGATGTAACCCTGGAACTTACATGCCCTTTGGTCCCAAATCATGGATGAAAGACAGCTGGCTTATATCAAGGAACTCTGTCTGAAAAGAGGCCAAAAATCCATACTTTAGGAAAGCAGAAAGAAAAAAAGATAAACTTTTGTATTTGAAAACAATATCCATCAGATACTGCTACATTAAACACATCTGGGGAACTCCACAAATTGGAACAATGGCATCGCCCTGAAAGAACGGATTCAAAGTGTATGCAGAATTAAAACACAACCAGGAAAGTGATGTGTGCTCTCAAATATACAGACAGGATGCTCAAGAAAGTTGCCAAGGGGGATTTTATTCCCAAAATTCTCCTGTGTTTTTGTTGTTTGGGAAAGGGGATTGTATGGCATAGTGTACATACAAATAACAGTGGTTATATGAAGGCAGTGATGTGGGTGCCAAGTTCTGGAAGGTGGAGTAGACTTGGCATGGGGAAATGGGAGATGGAGGTGGAGATGGGACATGGAAGGTGTAAAAAAGGTCATTGGGTGTACAGTTGGGCTATAGTGAGCAAGATGAAGAGAGTAATGTACAATTAAATGGAAAGTGGATTGAAGGGAGTTTGAGGAGATCTTTGAACATGGAGAATACCAGAATGTTTAAACAGAAATGAGATATAATAAGGGGTGCCTGGGAGGCTCAGTTGGTTGAGCATCTGACTCAGGTCATGATCTCAGGGTTGTAAGATAGAGCCCTGTGTCAGGCTCCACGTTCAGTGGGGAGTCTGCTTGAGATCCTCTCGCCCCCTCTCCCCTACCCCTCCCCTACCCCACACTCACGCTCTTTAGAAAAAAACAATAATAATTTTGCATAACAATAATATAAAAATAATTTTGTTTTTAGCAAGGAGAAAAGGAAGAGATTTTTCAGGCCCACCTTTACCATATAAATTATGGGAAGATGATGACAACATCAATTTACTGATTGCTTAATATCTATCTGTTGGCCCTATACTAAGCATTTTTCACTCATTATCTCAAATCGCTCTGCAAGAAGTGCTATTTTTCCCCTTGTACAGAAGGGAAAACTGAGCAGGGATAGGCAAACTTTCTCTACAAAGAGTCGGACATAAAAATTTTAGGCTTTGTGCTTCATATGCTCTAACTACTGTAGCATAAAAGCAGCCATGAACAATACATAGATGAATAAGCACGGCTGCATGCCATTCAAACTTAATTTATGCTTATTAAAATACAAATATACTATGCTTTTTATGTCATGAAGTATTCTTTTTAGAATTTTCTTCAAACATTAAAGAATATAAAAACTATTCTTAGCTCATGGACCACACAAAAACAGGCAGTAGGCTCAATCCGGTCCATGGGCCATAGTTTCCAAACCCCTGGTGTAGAGAAGTTAAATAAATTGCCCACAATAGAGGTGTCCAGGTGGCAGAGTCATTTAAGTGTCCAACTCTTGGTTTCTGCTTAGGTGGTGATCTCAGGGTCATGAGATTCAGCCCCAAGTCAGGATCCACACTTAGCGTGGAGACCACTTAAGGTTCTCTCTCTCTTTCCCTCTGCTGCCACACCTTCACTTGAATGCTCACGCTCTCTAAAATAAATAAATCTGTTTTAAAAAATTGTCCAGGATAAGATAATTAGCAAGGGATAGAGTCAAAATTAGGTCAGACCAGACAGTATCCTTAAGACAAAGCTGCAAAAGTAGTAAATCATTCACCATGAGTGTTAAATGAAAATGTGAAAGCAGAGGGGAAAACCAATGGACATTATGTAGTTCTCAGCATATATACAAGTTTTTACGTCCTGTATTCCTTGAAACAGCTAGAGTCAGACATTACAGAATTTTCCCTAATTACAATTAAATTACAATGCTCCCCAATTAGATAATTTTCTCTAAAAGTCGCCAGAGTAGGCCCAGATCTACCAATGGTTGTACGTCGCGTCAATAGCAGCATTAACAGAAAATTCAAATTCAAAAACATATGCTCCTGACACCAGGAAGCAGAGGGGAGACCAGACATGGAAAACATTCCCTATCAACAAGATCTGTGGGAAGAACCACAACAATTCCATGTCAAAGTAGGTATAGAGGGAAGGTGGCCACTTCCCAACTGACGTGATACCTCAGAAGAAATGGCATTTGATTTAGGCTTCTACGTGGGATTAATAAAATGAAACATAAGGCTTTCCTTAAAGTTTTGTATATGCGATTGAAAATAATCTAATATTAACCTGGTAAGCAAAATAACGACAAATGTCTCACTACTGTCAGTCCTTACCCAATTAAATGCTTCCATTTCTCAGGCTTATTTGAGGCAGAATTTAAAATTCAGAAAGACTGAAAAACCCCAAATTGAACATATTCTCACATCCAATTTTTTATAAAGATTTTATAAAGTCTTTAGGTTTCATTTCTTATATAAAACGTTGTCATTAAAAAAAATAAAAAAATAAAATAAAACGTTGTCATTCAGTACCATTTTTTATTTTTTATTTTTTTAATTTTTTTTAAATAAATATCTTTTTTTTTAATTTTTTATTTATTTATGATAGTCACAGAGAGGGAGAGAGGCAGAGACACAGGCAGAGGGAGAAGCAGGCTCTATGTACTGGGAGCCCGATGTGGGATTCGATCCCGGGTCTCCAGGATCGCGCCCTGGGCCAAAGGCAGGCACTAAACCGCTGCGCCACTCAGGGATCCCCAGTACCATTTTTTAAAAAAATCTGATTTAGGGAAATGCTTCTAATTGGAAAAATATAGTAATGCGTAAATTATTAGAAGTGATACTGTAGACTTTGAGGATAGAATCAATCCAAAATGTTTTAAAACCCTAAGCCACAACTTCTCATTTTATCTCTAGGGAGCAGAGAGAAAATGTCAATCCTAGTTTACACTGGAAGAAACTACTACAGTGGTATAACTAATTTATATGCAAAGCTACAGAAGAGTTAAATGGACAAACAGGAAAGGAAAAGCAAAAATCAAGGAAACCATTTATCTAATACCTGGATAGTTTCTTATTCATATAGCTCCTATCATTGAGTTGACAACAGAAGTATTATTTGAAATAATTCAGAAATCATAACTTTAGAATATCATAAGTAAATTGCAATGTGTAAAGAATTTAATCTAAATAAAACAAATACATATTGGTAATGCAGAAAATTTAAAGTTGTGTACCAATATAAAACTTAAAATGATCCTAATCACTTCAGCGTGACTGGGGGAGAGATTTCAAGAAACAACTACCCTATTATAGGCCAAAAAAAAATAAAGAAAGAAAGAAAGAAAGAAAGAAAGAAAGAAAGAAAGAAAGAAAGAAAGAAAAGAAAAAATCTCAGGCACTTTATGTTCTAATACAGATTTATCAGATTAAAAGTAAATGCAGCAAGGTCAACTTAGAAGCAAACCCAAATAACACAATGTGAAATTTAACAAAGATTGTGTTGCCCATACTTCTCAGTGCATCTTTAGTGATAACAATTCCACTCTGTATTTGCACAGGTGAGTCTCAAGAACATGAATTTACTGATCAATGTAACTGGACAATATTCTACAGGGTTTACTATCTCTTTAATAATGTATTAATCAACATTTTTTTAAAGATTTTATTTATTTATTCATGAGAGACACAAAGAAAGACAGAGAGAGGCAGAAGGAGAAGCAGGCTTCATGCAGGAAGCCTGATATGGGACTGGGTCCCAGGACCCCAAGATCACACCCTGAGCCAAAGGCAGACGCTCAACCACTGAGGCACCCAGGCATTCCAAAAAAAAATTTTAAGACTATTTATGTATTTATTCATGAGAGACACACAGAGAGGGGGCCAGAGACACAGGCAGCGGGAGAAGCAGGCTCCATGCAAGGAGCCCGACGTGGGACTTGATCCTGGGTCTCCAGGATCATGCCCTGGGCTGAAAGCAGCGCTAAACCACTGAGCCACCTGGGCTGCCCGAAAATTTTTTTTTTTTCCAAAGGAACTTGTGAAAAATATAATTAAATGCTAGGGAAACAGGGAAGTAAAAGCTCCAATGAAAAAGGGATTAGCCATTAGCCCAAGGGGTAAAAACAAACCCAGGAAATTACCTGGCAATCACGTATACACTGTTCCTCTACCTCATGTTTGCACTGGAAGGGAAGGGGCTGTTCAGAGGCCCCCCTTTATGCCTGAGGTAGCAAAAATTCAAGCAAGAGCCCAAGTGGGAAATTCTCAGAAGCAAGGGAGACAAGAGCATTGGGTTGGGCAGTCCCCTTGTGGTGAGAATGGAGGTAGGCTCACCTATTCCAGGAAAGCCTGCCTTCCAGGTCAGACAGTGAACACAGCCCCATTGAAAAGAGAAGAGATCTCATCTGTGGAGGAAACGGAGAGGCTGGACTCTCCCAACCCTTAGGACTCAATCATGAGAAAAACAAGACTTCCCTTACTTTGCAGATGCAGCTGTTACAGTACAGCCTCTCTTGGCTGACATGGAAATACTGTATACATCTTTATTCCTCTTTACCCACTCTTCCCCCCAAACTAAATTCACTCACCTTACAACACAAGGGAGTTGTGAACTCAGTGTTATTAATCTGTGGGGTGTTTATCTTCAGATTCCTTACTTCCAAGAGGGTGATTAGCTTGAAATTACCCTCTAGGAGGTAAGGAATCTGAATTACGACAGTCAAATGATTAGAAATATCATCCTATCAACCTAGGACACTTCTCTAGGAAATTACACGTTTTGTTCCATTTCTAGATTTTAATCTTCAGCTAGAAAAAAAGCACATTTACTGTTCCTGATGACTCTTCCTTTAAATTCCCTGCAAGCTAAGCATTTTCCTGTTACTAATTAAAATGCAAAATAAAATAAAATAAAATAAAATAAAATGCCAAGCTATGGTGCCTGGGTGGCTCAGTCAGTTAAGCATCTGTCTTAGGCTCAGGTCATGATGCCAGGGTCCTGGGATCGAGCCTCACATCGGGTTCCCTGCTCATTGGGGAGTCTGCTTCTTCCTCTTCCTCTGCCCCTTCCCCCTCCTCATGCTCTCCCTCTCTCTCTCCCAAATAAATAAAATCAAAAATAAAATAAAATACCCAGCTAGTGGGTTCAGTAATAGAGCTAGCACTAATGCAATTTAGAATATAAAAGGAATCCTATTTGAGACCTTGTATGTTACAACTGAGTAAACACATTCCTGTTATAAAACCTATTTATGCCTTGAGGAGAATGCAAAGACATTTACCCCTATTTTACAACTGAGTAAAGAAAACAGGATAAATTACCAATCATCTCTGAGGCAATTATCTGACGTTAAACCGACTAAAACATAAGAAACTGTGTTCTTCAAAACCTCAAGGAAGAAAAAAGGAATTAAAGAAGTCATTGTGAAGAAAAGAATTCCTGATCTGAATATTAACCTAACCAGTGACCATTTGAAAATAAAATCTGTTCATGTCTGGTTTCATCAAAATTTTATAGAAATTAGAGACATGATTCTATCTGAGCCCTTGACCTATGATTCATGCTCTCCAGCCTAAAGACCCAAATTAATTTCTAATAGGCTTGTTTTACATTTACAAAAATATAAATTAATTATATGTAATTGTATAAAAATAACTTTTAATATGACTTTATAGACAAGAGTTTTAATATTTCTCATAATTATCAAAGGACACACAATGATGCCAATCTAATTTCACAAATATGAGGCAAAAGCCTGTAAATCTAATCTCCAGCTCAGAACACATTATGTGAAAGTTCAATAATGTCAGAAAATTAAGACAGATCAAATTGTGTCTTATGTCTGAATCACTCTGGAGAATTCTGTCCTTGGGGTAAATAAGTAGCCACCAAAAATGTGGAGTAACATAGATTTGGTCAGCTGTAACCAGGTTTTTCCTCCCAAAGGAAAAGTTTAGAAGACATTCTGGAATTTCTGGATCTACTGAGGCTCAACTTTGGAAAGATTTTTATGACTAGAAAATTAAAATGAACATTTTAGAAACTGTACACTTTCTTTAATCAACGTCAGAATCCAAAATGCAGTGGATTTTGCATTGCTTTCTATATGTAGAAAGACTCAGCAATTACTATTCTAGAGCCAAAGACCAGTACCAGTGAAGTCACAGGCTGGCCATAGAGAGAAACACACAGAAAATCTTTGCATCCTAGTACTAGTACACATTTAAATAATTCTTTATTAAAGAAAACATCATATTTGACTTTCGGAGAACAGGAAGCAGAGTTTTTAGCAGTAGCAACAGTAGCTATAGAATTGTAAATAATAGCAGTAATACCCTCACTCGTGACACTCTCTCAAGATGCACATTCCTGAGTCCTAGAGAAGAGAAGAAATCCCTACCATCATCCTTCTCCTGAGATCCTCCGGTTGGACCCAAGTTGCTGGTTTCCCTGGGAAAACTCTTCCAGGATCATGAAACCACATACACTCCTTCAAGTCCATCAAATATAACACCACAAACTGCTGCGGAAGGTGGGCCATGGCCTGGGTACTGGATCATTTGTCTGTGGTGACCAGGGGGCCAGAGGACCAGCTGGGAGCTTGCCCAGCCTCCAGATAACACCCTGGCAGGCAGCAAGAAGGCTGGCTTGCTTGCTTGCTTGCTTGCTTCCTTCCTTCCTTCCAGATTTATGTCTTTGAGAGAGAGAACGTGCACATGCTGCATGCCGAAGGAACAGCGGGAAAGGGAAGGGATGGGGAGAGAATCTCAAGCCGACCCTGCACTCAGTGTGGAGCCCCGTGTGGGGCTCAATCACAGGACTCTGAGATCATGACATGGACAGAAACCAATAGTCAGATGCTGAACCGACTAAGCCGCCCAGGTGCCCTTACCCCCTCCTCCCTGTTTAAGTATTTACGTAATGCCATTCTCTAAACGAGAGGCCGCATCTAGTAGGCCATAACTGCCTACTCTTAATTTCTGCACATACACCATATACATACGCTCAATCCCATGGCAGTACGGTTTACACATCCACAGATGCGAAAATACAATAATCCAGCACATTCTCAGTTACCTGGACCTTTGGATAAGTGAAGGTTAAGCCTTCAAAGACACCCCTTCAAGACCTCTAAGAGGACTGAGGTTATTGTGTTCTGAGAACTTCTGTCAAGGCCCACTCCCTCCTGCTTGCCAGCTCTGTGCCTCCCAGCTGCCTCTAAGCCCCACCACCTCTTTTCTCTTATTTCGAGAGTTTTTTCTCTCCCTAGCTTTTCCCATGCTTCTCACTTTCACATGAAAAGACAGGCCTTTTATAAGCATCACGGGCCGATCAGATGGCCAACCAAGCAGCACGCTCTGTTTAAGTTGCATATTCAACTCTGCTCAGCTGTTTTCATCACTTACTACTCAAGTGTTTTTTCTTCAGGGTTAGAAATGCTTTCAGGCATTATTCTGGAAGCCTGAGGAGAAAAGGACATTGATTTCTAGATAATCTAACCTGGGGCAATGTTTCAAGTTCATTTGAATCTACTGCGCTAGACACATTAATTTCTTTTTTTTTTTTTTCGGGGACACATTAATTTCTATTTGGCATTTTTGAAATAACATTACCATGAAATAAATTATTGCTCTCAAATCAATTTTGCATTCAGATCATTAATTTCAACTTAAGGAATACGCAGGACTGGATTCAAGCACTTGTGTTAATAAAATGACCCAATATTTAGCTGATTTTATAAGGTATTTCAAAATAAGTCACTGAACAGTACTTACTGTCGCGTGGTAGTTTCTATACATGGGCATTTTTAGTAACTTTGTCAAATAATCTTCCAGTTGTTTCTGTAACACAAATATATTAGATGAGAGATAACAGTGAGAGAGATGTGATCACTATCTCACCTTAACTTCTGCAAACTTATTCAATTATTTATTCATATTATCACTGGACAAGGAATCTTGAATAGCATTAAGGAGTTATTTCCATAGTTCCCCTGGACCATCATTCCAACTGTTTCTTGTTACTTAGCATTTCACATGCTTATGTCTTTTATAACTAGCTGACAAGACCTAAGCTGTATATTCTTTTATCCTCCATAGTTTTTTTTTAAGATTTTATTTATTTATTCATGAGACACACACAGAGAAAGAGAGGTAGAGACACAGGCAGAGGGAGAAGAAGGCTCCATGCAGGTAGCCTGACGTGTGACTCGATCCCAGGACCCCGGGGTCACGCCCTGGGCTGAAGGCAGCATTAAACTGCTGAGCCACCCAGGTATCCCCTATCTTCCATAGTTTCTAGCACAGGACTTGTCCCACGGTGGACGATCTTAAGACATTTGTTGATTTCATAAAAAACCTGAATTTCCTGAATTCTAACACTGAATTTACTGGTAGATCTCTTATAGGTTTTTTTAAACAGCTGTTCATGGGGAAAAAAGGAAGAGATTAAGAAGAAGTTGTACCCTGATTTCAAACATGTTTAAATGTGGGAGGGCAATGTCAATCACGTCGACTATGATCACGAGTGGAAGCACTAAATGTTAAAAGTCACAGCTTCTCATTTTCAACTGCATTCATGTAAGTGCCCAAAGAAACCCCAAACTGTAGAGTTTTATAGATCCAGGTATCTTGGAAGATACTTATTCTAGATCCCTAAAAAAGATTTTAAACCAGATGACAACTATACAAAGGCAAAATCAAATATCGTTTTCAGAACATAAAAGTTTAGAAAACAGAACTGACATTTACTTGTTAATTTTCTAGTAAAAAACAATCTCCTGCGCTGTGTGCCACCATCCCACTGAGGTGGAACACCTGCTACTGGGGCTTCTGTCCTACTCCTCTCTGGCCCTAACGGCCCCACCTATCGTTAGGGAATGAGACCTCACATATACTTAGGACAAGCTACTACAAAGTGTCGAGCAAACATTTGGAAATATATGCTTTTAGACAGTAGATCTCAAAACCCTCAATGATGAGCTCAATCTTGACTCACAATGAGCCCAAAGAGACTCTTGGTGGGAGGACAGCTTCTTCATAGAACACTCCCCCCTCTTCTGGGAAATACAACCTCCCTCCCCAGGTCAGATTGGCTTGGGGAAGAAGTGCTGCCTAACAAGTTCCAGGGAAACCAAACCAGCCCGGGGGAGGGCGGGTAGGATCACGAGGTGATAAAAGTTGCAGCTAGGCCCCCTCCCCCTTCAGGAACCACCATGCTTCTACAGCACTGCAAAATATTCGGAACAGCGGAAGACCGGAAAGACGTACCCTTCTACCAAAGAATTGTTCTTCTCTGATCATATTTTCAGATGAACGGGGCAAACTTGGCATCTCTCGAGGCTCTTCTTTGACATTCTGTCTTCTAAACGTGTGTCTAAAACACACATGCAATGAAAACATCAGATTGTTCTTTGAATAATATTCTTCTACTATCTTTCATAAAATGGTTTATTTTTAGAAAAGACTATTTAATAGAAAATATCCACTGACGATGGACAAGTTAACCCATAATATCGATAAAATACTCTTTCCACCCAACTTGTATACCGGGATAACCTTGTAATTAATTCTGCAACAGTTACCTTCTGGTAGGAATGGGGATTCGGATAAAAGCTTTGTACTTGAGCAGCTCTCTGTGAAATTCTTGAAAGTGTTTGAACTTCCTCTTAACTTGCCACTTAAATTCCCCATGTGTTAGTTCAATAGTGTAAAGATTGATACTCGGTACCTGCAGTGATCAATAAAAATGATATTTTAGATAACAACAAAAATTCTAAAGTCTTTCGATGAACAATAGCCTAAATTAATAAATAACATGGAAGTACCCTTAAATCCAGCACACATATTTTGTTGGGTTAAGTACTTAGGCAAGATGTTTTCTAAAACAACTGATTACAGAAATAACATTCCCTTAAAATGTTCACTTTATAATATATATAAGACAAACTCTGAACCACACCAAAGACAAACTCCCACAAATTATATTGCTCCAAATACACACACACACACACACACACACACACACACAGCCCTAAAACAAGAAACCAGGTAAGGGAGACAATGAGTGAAAACCCTGATTAGTCATCAGCAGTAATTTTGCTTGTCTAAAAGTATAAGCTGTGAATAGACAACTTGGAGAGGGTGAGAAGAAAGCTAGGAAATGGATTCTAGGAACATGACAGGATCTCGGTCCACTTCTTGCCCTTCCCAAATGACATGAATGCCTTCTCCTCCTAAAACATACTCCAAGGTCTCTCCTTGTCCACAACATCTCCCTGCCCTGAAGCATCACCACCAGTGACCAGCAAGGGACAGGACAATTAGAGGGAAAGAAGCAGAAGATTTTCCTACACACAAAATACTTTTCCCAATTACTCAACTAAAATCAATTCCCATTTAAAATCTTAAAAATATTTCTTATTAAAATGCAAATATACTGACTAGGGAATTATTTCAATCCGAAAAACCAACAGACCTGGGGGATAGTTTTGATATAGTACAAAGTGTTAGGAGACCGAGGGATGTTCATAAAGCAGAGGAGCTCTCGAAGGAAGGTCCATGAGTTGTGGGGTGTGGAGATAAGGGGATGGGCAGGGCAGTGGGCACTGGGGGTGGACCACCTAGAGGATCCTGGCCCCTGCTGGGAGATTTAGGCACCACAGGTGCTGGAGGCAGGGGAAAGTAAATGTCTCCTTCCCTCTAGTTGATTCAGCTCTGCTGCCAGCAACCCCATGTGAGATTCCTGGCCCACTGTCATTCACTACTGATGTCTGACATACTTTGCAAACTTCCAGAGTATGACCACTTTGTGTAGATGTAGCATATAAAACATGAGCACGAGAGGTAATGCAACTTGTGCTCTGAAGTCTGGAATCCAACCAGATCACTGGTAAATATTCAAATCGAGCATTTGCTTTGTCTCTAGTTGGGATTTATGACAATTACTACAACTGGAAGTTGAAAAAAACAAAAACAAAAAAAACAGTTCTGGGGTTCAATATTATATGCTGCCTTTTACTTTGGCCAACATTGCAGGCATCATCCTCCATCATGTTTCACAGAGAAGAATGCAGGGAAACTCAGAGTGGCCAGAAACTTTGCATTCAAGTGAAAAACGCTCAATTAAAGATGAGCCAAATAAACAAGAAAAATTAAACAATTTAGGCAAGTGGCTAACATTTCCTAGGATTGTATTTCCCATTCTATGAAAACGGAATACTTAGAAAACACTGCAAATGTCATGTTTTATCCTTCACATATAAACCCCAAATTTCATACACTAAACTTCTTAGCAACTGCGAGGCAGGATGGTACCATGGAAACGGGCCATCGCATCCTTTGTGAAGCTGTTAAAGGTCTGAGACCCCGTGGTGCAGCCTACCAGCTGTGAAACTTGAGCCAAAGGTCACTTCTGTGAGACAACAGCCCAGCAGGATTATTGGAATTCTTTGGAATTGGAATCATTTGAAGAGTCTTAACAAAGGAACTGCTTACAAAGACATGATAGGGGTAAGGAAACCGTAAAGGGAAGGACAGTAACCTGGGACTCTGAAGGTATCCCCAGCCCTGGAGGGACAAGAGGCAGAATCAGGTACTGGAACAGGGAGGAGAAAACCATGGGAAGATGGCTGCCCTGAGGGAAGGGGTGCCCTTGGTCAAGGGACATAGCCAGCCCAAGGTGACCCCACTCTCCACCGTCTGAGCCCTACCAGAGGACAAAAGCAGAGGGCGTCGAGCACAAGGTGGAGAAGGGGGGGAGAGGGCGCAGGAGGGCAAATGGAAGGTCCCCAGCCTGAGAGGCCCTAATAACATCTGCCTCGCTGGGCTGCCATGCAGACAAAAAGAGAATTGCCTTGAGTGGGCACATAGAACTTATTCGGTACTTAGAAAAAAATATATTCTTATTTGCCTGGAATCACATATAAACTGCATGAATTTAGTTCATATTTCTTAGTAAACTAAACACTAAGTAGGATAAAGATGACCCTTAGCTTTCTCACACAGACTAAGATTAAACAGAACAAAAGCAAACTCACTAACAGAAGAATACAAGCAAAGAGAAGTCCCTGACTTGGTGACTTGCATATTCATCTTCATGAAGAACTTTCAGAGACATCTAATATTAATAATACGTGGTATCATACAATGTATGCTTATTTAATACTATAAGGGGCAAGGCAGGGCCACCCCAAGATGGGCCACTTTGGAATGAAGATTACTTTGAGTTAAAAAAGCAATCAAGGGGCACCTGGGGTGGTCCAGTCGGTTAAGCATCAGCCTTCAGCTCAGATCATGGTCCCCTCAGGGTCCTGCGACTGAGCCCCACACTGGGCTCCTGGCTCAGTGCAGAGTCTGCTTCTCCTTCTGACTCTCCCCCAACATCTTTCTCTCTCTCTTGCTTTCACTGTCTCTCAAATAAATATATAACATCTTAAAAAAAAAAAAGGCAATTAAAACCCAGGAGATCCAGGATAAGCTCTTTATTTCTTCTTCAACTGCCTAGAAAGAATTTAGCTAGAGGACTTGCTCCAGGAAGAAGGCTATCACCACAGATGACTACATTATACTATGAACTAGGTACAGTAGACAGGAAGGAACCAGCAAGGCCTGTTTGATCAAAGTCCTCTGTGTCCCATTGTCTAGTGGCTCAGCAAACATTTATTTACCAAACATTTGCTTTTTCATCTCCCTGTGAATTGCATTCCTTGTCTTTGAAGTCCCAGACACCTACCCAATTCTCTGTAGTTCAGAGTGACTACAGACCTCATTTTTGCCTGTCTTTGGAATTTCCATGCCTTTGTGGATTCCCTGTACATAGGCAATTAAATTTGATTTTCTCTTATTAATCTACCTCATGTCAATGTGAGTCTTAGTCTGGCTAGAAGGACTTTTGGAGGGGACAAGAAGTTCCTGCTCCCCAATAATATCATCTATAATACTCTTGCATAATACTATGTATTATTATTATTATTATTATTATTATTATTATCAAATCCTCATAACAAACCTGTTACACCCATTATTCACATGAGAAAATGGAGAAACAGAAAGATCAGGTAACTTGCTAGAGATCACAAAACAAAGACCGGAATCAAGCCAGGCAGCCTGGCTCTGGAGTCTGTGCATTTAATCCTCTGAGCATGCTCACCCTCTCTCAGTCTGAAGGCTGGTAGGCAAATTAGGCAAGCAATGGTCATCTCAGAGACATTTCTGAGTGGGTTGTGGTCAGTGGTGTATCAGGGAGGTACAGACTCAACTCATACACAGAGCCTAAAGGAAAGGCTGCACACAAGGGTGGGTGGAAAGTAGGACTCGAGGTATGTCTGCAAGCACAGGGAGGGCAGGACAGACCACCAAGCAAAGCTACGAGGACCAAGGTAGCACGTGCCACCCTGCAAAAGACATGGAGGAAAGGCAGGCAAAACCTGCCTCTGGAGAAAGGTTCTTCTCACTTCCCACGAGGCAGGAGCCAAGGTGGCCTTACTCTGCTGGGACCAAAGCTTGACCCACCGGCCTGAAGCAACGTCCTCTACTTCTCAGACTTGACCTCTGTGATGTACGGTCAGTAACAGAGCAAAGGCAACTGCCCTAACGGCCTCTGGTCCCATCCGTTTCAAACAATGATGCTTTGCGTGATGAAGCCATCTTCACGCTCGATGCCCTTCCAGGACTAAGAGAGAAAACCTGCAAACGAGGCCTAACGGGCAGGTTGCTAGGAGCAAATCAGAGTGGCAGAGGACGCCGGCAGGATTCTCTTGGCAGTGCTTCTGACACTGGCCAACCTGGCCTCGTGGCCTTTTTTTCTTCCAAGAGTCAGCTCCATCATCATCTTCTTGCTAAACAAGCATTAGGAAAGCCAACCTTTTCCTTGGCTTATAGGTGGCATTCTAGGTGTCCACATTAAACAGAAAATTGGGAGAGAGGAGGACTAGGAGAGGCACTCGGCATTTTATCAAACTTATAAATTGCTTTAGGGACTTTTGTTGTTAAATTTTTTTTAATTTTTTTTTATTTATTTATGATAGTCACACACACAGAGAGAGAGAGAGGCAGAGACAGGCAGAGGGAGAAGCAGGCTCCATGCACCAGGAGCCCGACGTGGGATTCGATCCAAGGTCTCCAGGATCACGCCCTGGGCCAAAGGCAGGCGCCAAACCGCTGCACCACCCAGGGATCCCCCTTTTTTTTGTTGTTAAATAGCATTCTCCAGAATGAGGAAAAAGGCATAGGAGAATAAAGACTAAATGAAAAGCATAAACTTGAGAGGCGATGAGGACTTAGAAGTGATTTAAAAAAAATACATCTAAACACAGAGTCATAAAAACATAAACACACAGTCATAGCTACGAGGAAGGAAAAGGGACGTCAGTGTGTTGATTCATATACATCGACTAATACAAGGTGAGTCCACAAAGGCTCTGACCCTCGTCGTAGACGTGAAGCGCTCCACTTCCAGGACTTGGGCTTGTACTGGACAGCCGGCGAGATACGTCTGTATGTTAGGCTCCTTAAATCCTTGAGTCTTATAAATAGCAGAAAAAGGGATACACGCTAAAAGACAAACCAGTAAACACAGTTATTGCAGGAACACAAGGACATTGCAAGAATACACGATATTAGCATGACTTGCCTTTTTATGGGCAGCTGCTCGAGTCCTAACCTGCCACAACGAGCAAACCGCTAATGAAGCGGCCTCAGCCCAGAGTTAGGACAGCAGCAGGGAGATCAATCATTTGCTGGTTATTTCAAATCTGCGCTCTGTCAAGCAACCCCGAGCAACTCTCTTCTCGCTCAGACCATCAGTCTTTACCTTCCTGTGTCTTGGGATCGCTGGGAGACACATCGTAATCCACCTCTTCTCCCTCGAAGTGCAGCTCCCGCGTGTCGAGATTTTCTATCAAGTTACTCATGTCTGCAGCGATTTTCTGCAGTGCAGAGGTGTTTACTCTTGGCTCATTTTTCAGGGACATGTTGGCTTCCGACAGGGCAAGAGCAAAGGGGCTGGGGGAAACAAAGGGGGTTATAAGGACTTAGTATTTTGGTCAAATAAAACCCTATTCTACGATATGAATCCAGGCTCAGACACAGCATCTGGAAACAAGACAACTAGCTCTGTGTGAGCCCCAGTCATCTCAAACAACCTCTTCCTTTATTCTCCTGTTTAACATTTAAAGGATTCCTGGCTTATGAATTAAATTGGAGTGAGATCCTTAATCACAAGCGAGTCAGAAAGAGAAACACTACATTGAATAAATGCCAACATATCTTTCATCCAATATCATTAACTTGGATAAATGAGGACAGACTCCAGGGAGGCTGGTTTGGGAATGGTGATTCAGAGAAAAAGCAATTGATTCTTAACTCTAACAAATACGTGGGGCAAAAAGTCCTGTAGAAGTAAGCGCCTCTAAATATTTTCTGAAGAAAAGTGAGGGCATTTTACAATAATCTCAATAGGCAGATTTAAAATATTTTCATGGGAGCATAACCTTTCTACATTTCCTCTGGTGGTGATATCCCAAGCAAAGTGTACACACTATCTTTTTGAAAGAGGAGGTTTGGGCCATGACTTCACATGAGTTATAATAATGTACGTGGGTTGCAAGGTAATTGATTATTATGCCTCTTCTGGAAGATACCAGAGGTGCTCAAACTGTACCTCTCTCCTTTTTAGAGAAAACCAGTTCTATCTCATTTCGACATTTAATAACACAAGTCGTTGCACACCAGTACCCAGGGAAGAAGAGTTCATATAGATTTTATTTTTCCTTTAAAATACAGAGATTTAAGCCTGGAGCACTGTCATCAGAGTTGGATGAAAAATTCCTACTGCTAGAAATAATCTGTTACAACCAGGCCCTAACATGGCGGGGCTTTCATACGAGCAACTCCACCACACACGTCCATTTTTTATTGCAAATCACAAACATTTACTGAGAGTCTGCCACTCACTCATTGTGAGATGCGATGAGTAAATACATAAAGATGAATACGGCTGGTCCCCGTGATTAAGGAGCTCCCCATACGGGTGAGGAAAGAAGCTACACGGCCCCAGGTTCATTCCTGGCCTCCTCCAAGGTCTTTGGCCTTCCTGAGAACGGCATGTGCTGAGTGGAAGACCGTTGGCCAGGTTCTCTCCTACCTGTATGATCATGAAGCTGGGGGCGAGGGTGGGTGGGAGGCTATAGGCAAAGCTGAGAGAGTCTTGGCCAAACTTGAAGGGCCCTTATGGGAATTCATCATCAAGTCTCTGAAACCTGTACTGCCAGGTCTGGTAGAAAGAGATCTGGTTTGGAATTTCAAAAGACGGGGTAGAGGGATGTGGTTCCAGTTTGGTCAGATACATATAAATAATATAACCAAGTTCTCTGTGGACCACAGAATTGATTATGTTTCTGTCTCCATGTGGGCTGTAAGGAAGCTTGGAGCCATGTCCGTGACCTACTACTAGCAAAACAGAGGCCTGTCCTTGCCTACATCATTCCCCTTCATCTTTCTCTCCCACTTCTAATTTATATTATAATAACATTTATTATGGACTGATAGCTTCGTATGCACCTGGCTTGGTGGTAGTCCTTTATATACATTATCATGTTTATCATCAATAATAAATCTATGAAGGTTTGTTATTTCTATTAAAGACGACAAGAGTTTATCATCCCCTCTTTACAGATAAAAACACTGAGGCACAGAGAGATTAGGAAACTTGATGAATACCTTGGACAACATGTCCAAGGTCACAGAACTAGTAAGTAGTGAAGAAGGGATTTAAAACCAGGTCTTTTGGACCCAAGAACTGATGTTCTCAACCACAGTCTTTATCTTCTCGTCCATTTTTGGTAGACACGTTAAGTGTCCCGGCAACAGATGGAAGTTTTGGTAAAACAAGTGACCTTGGACAAAACTCAGATGGAGAAAACAGGAAGTAAGTTCCTCTAGGAGCTCAGCACCTCAGGATGAAGCCATTTACAGCTCTCAGGATGGACCTTGGCTATTCCTCTATAAACTAATGAGGTTGAGTCATTTCATCTCTAGGGTCCCTTTAACACTAGAACCCTAACCATAGATAAAAAATGCTATATATTGTTCAGCCTCCCCAAAGAAGTCATTACTTTAACTCAAAAAATTAACCCAAATAGTTTTTCATATGAATACAAGAAGCAGGTGGCAGATGTTTTCCAACCTGGAAACATTTTGTGGAGGTCTGTTCAGCTTCAATCAAAGAGCTTGTGGCCTCTGGTCACTATTAAAATATTTGATTCCTTCCCTCTCAACTGAACACTTATTAAATGCCAACCATGAGCCAGGTTTTCCTTCATTTAAAATACAAAGTAATGAAAAACTTAGAGGAAACGAGACAAGGAAAAACAAGTAAGAAGTTACATCATATCACTGGTACTCATGAACTTGTAAAGCTCTGGGGTATTTTCTATCGATTAAACTGTCTTATGGTTAACTCGGCCAACTTCCTTAGCGTAGGAAAACAAGAGTTACCCCAATAACTTTCCTTTTGGACAGAGTCTCAGTGTTACAATGCATGTTAAAGTTAAGATATACAGAGATGAGAATCACTATACACTGCAAGAAAACTGGAATAAATAGTACAGTCACTGGATCAAGTTAAAATAAAAATCTTTTTTTCAGATAGAAAGAAAAGCAGCATATAAACTTGTGAAAAATTTAAGAGTGAAAAAAGAAATAGAAAGGAATCCTCTTATCATTTATACTCGAGTGTTTGCTAAAATTACACTTATTAGCACATAATACAGTTATGTTATTTGATACTCACAATGGTACTACCTGGTATTTATGATTATTCTGAAAGGCTTAGTTAAGTAACTGGGCCAAGGTCACTCAACTTGTGTCAGTGTTGAATTTACTCATAAAGCAAATTTTTCTGGCTCTCAAATCTCATGGACTTGGTTATAGATGTTCACAATTACTGATTTTATTTAATGGGTTGAATGTCCATAAATTCATCTTTTCTACAAAGTTTATGTTTCACAACAACGAAAAACGTTATCTGCTTCAATCTCTGTATCTTAGAAGGGAGCCTATTAACTCTATAGTCACTATAGTAGTGGAATCAACATATCCCGACAGCCTCCTAAATTCCTTTTTAGTCTTTTATTTTTGTGGTTTATAATATTTTCTAAGATCACCTGGAGTTTCAGTGGACCCAAAGGGTTTGTAGATTTCTTTTGTGAGATGTGTGTGTGTGTGTGTGTGTGTGTGAAGACTCTACCATTTAATAATGGAAAATGAACCAAATTGTTTACATTACTGCCTTCACTCATGTCTGTGGTTGCTTTGTGTTGAATTTTTATCCATCGCTTGTATTGCTGGTTTCATTCTTGAATACCAGACTGTAAGGCTATCTACGCTAAAATGTTGTCAAATCTTAATTTATTAGCCCAGCTTTTCTTTTATCTAAATTAATCTATAATGGTGGGTGAACAGCTGCCACAGTAAAAGCCTATCTTAACCAGCAATGGGATAAGGCCTTCCAGTGTTTACTCTTGGGATAATGTAATTGATTTTAACTCCTTATAAAATTATACTGCAAGATCATTATCTCTCTTGGTACCAAGTAGAGATGGTACCCATGGAGTGATAATAGCAGCTGTGTTTTATTTCTTCTTGCATCTCTATCTGGGAAAAAAAAATACGGTGTTATTTTTTTCTTCCTGGTATTGAATACTAGAAATATAATTTTTTGCAGGGAACATTTTTAAATTACTTCCAGTTATTTATTCAGGGGTGAAATCAAAGAACTCTAGAGTTTCTTCCTTTCTTTTTTTTTTTTAAAGATTTTATTTACTTATTCATGAGAGACACACAAAGAGAGGCAGAGACATAGGCAGATGGATAAAAATGTTTGGTTCTGTCCCTCTCAACTGAACAAACTAACTATAGATAAAAAATGCTATATATTGTTCCCCTGCAGGGAGTCCGATGTGGGACTCGATCCCAGGACTCCGGGATCACTACCTGCGCCAAAGGCAGATGCTTAACCACTGAGTCACCCCTCTAGAGTTTTTTCTAATTTTAATTTTCAACATGACTGGGAAATAGAACATCAAAGGAAGCAGATATTTTCCTTTCAGATAGTACATACATAAACAATGCCTAAACCAAAGTATAATAATAACTACTAGTATTAAAATAAATATTAGCATTAGTTAATAGTTGTTGAGTGTATATACTATATGCCAGGCATTATTCAAAAGATGAATTGCACGATCTCACTGAATCCTCACAATCTTAGGAGCTGGGTCCTATTGTTAACCCCATTTGATTTTTTAGAGAAGGGGCCCAAGGGGAGAGGCAGAGGACAAAAAGAGAGAGAGAATCTTAGGCAGACTCCATGCTCAGTGCAGAGCCCGACACAGGGCTCCATCTCACGACCCTGAGATCATGAGCTGGGCCAAAATCAAGTCAGACACTTAACCAATCAAACCACCCAGGTGCCCCTGTAACCCCCATTTATAAGATAAGACGCTTAGATAGAATGGACAACTTTCCCAGAGCCCTGTGGCTGGGAAGTGATAGAGCTGGACCCAATCTTGATTGATCTGACTCCAAAGTCCAGCTACTTTACCTGGTAGTGGCAGGAGGGATAGACACTGAAGACTTTTAATCCTTACTTTACATACTCTTAGCACTAAAGAATTCAAAAAGGAACAACAATAACCAAAAAAAACTCAACATTTACTCTGTGAAGATAATGGACGTACTTCTTGCCTCCCTTTCTCACAAAACATGCAAAGTTCTCCCACATTTTTTAAATACATTACTTGTGCTTGCCAAAAAAAATAAATGCCATGTATTTCCAACCCAAAAATCGTAGCATAATGCTTGAATATGAAATGCATTTTAATTAGATCATTTAAAACCAAACTGACTCATGAGGATTTCTTATTTTCCCATTTTTCACTATGATGAAGTTAATTGGTAGACCCACACTATCTAACCTCCCAGAACACATTATATAGCAATGA